TTGGTACATATTCAGTTCTAATGTTAAGGGGCTGTAATGAAAAATAGTTTACTTTAAAGATTTTGTTATATTCTTATGCCCTGTTAATTATCACGTGCCAAAATTGCTAATTGGAACACCAACTTGTATGACATTGGCATTATGCCAAATCAATGACGCGTTAACCAGTACGAGAAGCCTAGAGTCATATTACATCATGCAAACTTAGATACAATCTGTACCTGACGCATTTATTTCTCGTAATTAAGCTTACATATCATGTCACATTCACTGTGTGAATGCAAAGAAGTTATTTCTAAAACTTGTAAACCATTTCTTAATTAAACATAGACCATTCTTCACTATGATTTGAATTTCGCATAAAATTCACTAGCTGTTCTCTTGAATCCGATTGCGTGAGTAAAGATCGTAGCAACGATATAGTTTTACCATTTAAATATCTGATATAATAAGACAATAAAGTTATTTTCTTATGCCACATTATACTACTACTACTACTACTACTACTACTACTACTACTACCACTACTATGTGATGTTAATACGATCAATGGCCAAGATCTATGCTAACACTAGACTAGACACTTAATCATTACATTGTACACAGATTAAATACACTATTCACAACTGAATATAAAGACTAAATAATACTTTATTTAAAAAAATTTAATCAGTCTACACCCAATGTGTTCAGAGTAGAACTATAGGAAATGAATTCAAATAGTTAATAAGATGTGTATCTGTCTGCTGACGTTTCACAAACCAATTATATTCTCCTTCTACTAGCACACTTAATTATTTTTTTCAACACAAAAAACATTGGTACGAGGAGGTACCAAATGGATATTCGCCACATAAATCATCCGATTTGTGTCAGGGCTATAATACTGGTCGGTTGTCCACACCGAAACGGGTGGTTTTCTTGGGAGGCTACACACAGCCTTTGATCCAAAGGTGTGATCCACAGGGCAGTGGAGCAACGTTAGGAGATGCAGTCACATGGTAGCCAGTGGCCAACGATTGGTTCATAAGCCATCTGTTCCCTCAGGATCCTGAATCCAATGTGCACCATTGGTTTGGAATCAAGGTTTTCCAACTCCCCTAAGTGGACTCTTCGTGTCTACCAACGCGGTTAAAGCGCCGGACATTTGCTTTTGATGCTCTCAATGTCGTAAACAACAGCCGTGGTGCGAGAATGCATTGAATAGGACTTCCCTGACAGTGATTGTATGCACATGTCCATATGAGAGTATTTCTAGAGTGAGAGCTAACTCTCCCCACTCTCGACCGTACCAGGGCATTTAGGGGCATATTAATAATCTCTGTTCACTTATATACATTATTCTTGTTTCAATTTCCCAGTTATCATTTATGTCATCGAGTTCATTTATTCATTATTATTATTATTGTTCCATAGGTGTTATCAATGTTCTAACACGTAATCCAGCATTAAGAATTGTTACATCAGAAATTCATCCAGTTGTACCAAGTCATTTTGGTCAACGTTATTTTGGTACATTTTAATCTAAATTATAATATATTGTATCTTCTTTCTCTCCCTTCTTTATTTTCTTTGTTTCATTACTATCTAATCCTTTTATCATATCAGCTTATATAACAACATGATATTCTTTACTTCAATCTAAACACCCGTAGAGTAATATCACAACTAACACACAAATCATTTATGTAACATATATTGTATTCTGTGCCGCCCACGCACACACACACACACCTCCTCCCTCTTTGTATCACTATAGATACATTCAATGTCATATTGATTATTGAATAGTTCTCTTTTTTGTTATTCTTTATTTGGTATTATTTCTATTTCACAATGAGATCTTTTCTTTGTATACAATGCATGTAATGCCCTAAATATTATGATCTCTTATTTATCATATTTAAACAACAAGGTAAATGAACCAAAAAAGAGATTATATTTTGAAATGTGTAAGAAATTGTAAATTTCAAAGAAATAAAAACAATCTCTATAAAACTCCGCCTTCTGATAATGCTGATCATGTGCTCATTAGTAACTGGTTTCTTAAGATAGATTTCGTGGAGTTTCGGTTAGAAGCCGTGACCAATGTAGACAGTGGTAGACGGTGGAGCATTATCATTGGTTGAAGTTAGACATTAACACTGTTGAATCCCAGCTGACTCACTGGTCTAGAGGTTAAGCGTTCGCACGGGTGATCAAAAGTCTTGGGTTGGAATTCCACGAGCAGGATCGTGAATGTGCACTGCTGATGAGTCCCACAATAGGACGAAACAGTCGTTCGGTGATTCCAGGTTTTCCATAGTGATCTAGCCCTAATCGACTCACGAATTGAAGTACTAGAAAACATTCATTACAAATAGAGCTGTTAACCAATGTCTTCATGAGAATTAATTTAGGGTAGAACCATGTATCTGAAATCTAATTATATATTTAAATGTTGGAGATGATCGTAGATTGCTTGTTTATGATTGACGCATTCACATAAAGTAGTCTTAAAGTAGAAATGCGATCATTTGATCACGAGATTTCAATCTTCATTCATTGAATTAATTGTAGCATGCATCACATATAGTTATTAACTTCCCACTATGATGTACTTTGTTAGCCAGTATAGGATTAATAGTCGATATAAAGTGGTTAAATATTATGCTGAACAATGTTTATAAGTGATAAACTCCTGGATGTAAACCTTGAAGTATTCATTAGATTATTCTCAATCTACAACTTAGTATTATACCATACTTTCCGATTATATCCTTTTGGTTAGCTTGGTATCTATTTCCTTTTCAATGTCTTTTATTGTGGTAATGTGTAAATTGTGGCAACCTGAATGTACGTATATTGATAGTATAGTTCTTTAATTTCAGAGAGAAAAAACTCCATCCAAATAATTCACTTGAGCTACAAATCTCCATGTATAAATCGTTCTAGACTTTGTATTGCTTATAAGTAATCTGATGGGGTCATCAGTTGTTTCTCTCTGAATTACTAAATGGTTTTACCTTCTAGATCAAGAAACCTTTCTGTCAGTGAGTAGCACTTTTATGCCATAGAATGAGTATTTTTTGTAGTTCAATCCACAGAGTTGTACTTCAATCTTAATCTTTAGAATGATGATTTTCTCGTGAAGTGAACTGTTTTGGGTTAGGATTGTTATATTTAAGAGTTTTAGGGTTTGAAGGTTAGAAGTTAGGCTTTCAAAGTTATAGGATTTTGCTTCCATACAAAACTATGATATCTAATCTAAATAGTTGATATCTTCGATTGATCAATTCCTAGGTCTTCCGTATAGTATTGATTCATTTGGATTTTCCACCATATGCTGTTAACATTTCGATTATATGATTCATCAAACATGTAGGAATTGCGACTACTTTCAAAGACCAGGTTTCACAGCCATGAAGTGAGAGGGAGTGAGTGGCTACGCAGTATCGTCTTTCCGTGGTTGAGTATTGTATCAACTTTGATTGTTGTCTATTCAATTACATTTATACATTTAACAACACTCTGTTATACGGCCCTCAAATACCCTGGTACGGCTGAGAATGGGGAGAGTCAACTCTCCTCGAAATGCTCTCATATGGCCACGTGCATACGACCACTGCCAGGAAAGTCCTACTCACTGCGTTCTTACATCACGGGTGTTGTTTACGACATTGAGAGGATGAAAAGAGAATGTCCGACGCCTTAACCGCGTTGGTAGACACGAAGAGTCCACTTAGGGGAGTTGGAAAACCCTCATTCCAAACCAGTGGTGCACATGGGATTCAAAATCCTGAAGGAACAGGTGGCTCATGAACCAATCGTTGGTCACCAGCTACCATGGGACTGCATCTCCTTACGTTGCTCCACTGTCTTGTTGATCAGACTTTTGGGTCAAAGGCTCTGGATGTGGTCTCCTAAGTAAACCACCTGCTTCGGTTTGGACACCCGAGCAGTATCATAGCCCTCACATAAATCGGATGATTTATGTGGAGAATATCTATTTGATATCTCCTCGTACCAATCTTTATGTGTTTAAATAAATAATACTCTGTTATATCCCGATAAGAATAATGAATGGTAACTACTGAGATCTATTTCTGGACTAACACTATACTTATATTTTTATTGTATAATTGTTAAGTAACTAACCCATACACATTCATGTTTCTCCTATTATTTCGACCCATAAACTATGATCATACGATTTACTGTTCTTGAGATATTCCCAATTTATTAGTGACAGCTTCTTACATTCAAGGCTACTTTGGGATAGAAATTGTACAAATTTTATTTTCTATTTTATGGCGCGATGATAGTCTGTTCAGTTTGTATATAAACCCAATATGTTTAAAATTCATATCGTGAAGGCTGAGATTTGTGTTCCAAACTCAAAATTCAGATAGGGTTAGATAGGAAGCAGGACCGATATGAACTTTAGACTGTTCGTACAAGTTTACACATCATTGATCCAGTCAATAAATCACTGTTCTTTAATTGCCGATATCATCATTACGTTACATGTTGATAGAGAGACAAGTCATAGCATACATTGTAGACTTCGTGGTGAGATGGATGACCTTTGAGCGATGCTGAAGTGATTTTGAGAGTGGACAACTAATTAGAACTAAATGAGGGTTATAAAGCAGTTAGAATTCCCATTTACAGTTGATGGTTAAGGTTAAAAATTAGATTTAGGGTGTTACATCACGAACTGTCATCAGCTTTATAATCCCAAAACTCTATTTAGCCAAAATGTATGGATGAATTCCACGGCCAAATTCGTGACTCGTTATCTTATATCGGATTAGTTCGTCCATAAATTGTAGTCTGGCCGACTTTATCAACTCTAACACAGATATTTCACTGATTGAAATCATGAATCAATTGAAGCTAGACCGTTATGGAAAACCTGGAAGCACTGGACTGCCGTTTCGTCCTAGTATGAGATTCCTCAGCAGTGAGCATCCACAGACAGTTATAACACAGTTCTTGATCAAAAAAGAAAAAAACAATCAATAATATACAAATATTTAGTTGAAAATGCTTCATTCATTGAAAAAGATTCAATGATCTTTACAATAAGGAAAGATAATTTTGTTTATCATCATGGATTTACAATGATCACGTAATATTATGATTATTATCGGTATATTCACTGAAATCAGTACCCGTATCTAAAATGAAATAATCCAATGAATATTGATTATTGTTATTGAATTGATTATATTATGTAAAAGTTTATTTATGATATTTATGTTGATTACGTAACAGAGGTGAATAAGCTATATATCATGTTAAATGTAATTACTGGCTAGTAACAGTAATCAGTATACTATTCTATTAACTCCGCATAGAGACCCTCTTGAGGTACTGCCGATCTCAAGTTCGGATAAAGGGGGAAGGTTGAGCATGGGGTTAGCGACCTTATCCCGTAGAAAACTAACTCGCTAAAAAAACGCTAACTAGAAATATAATTCTATTCTATTGTCTTTTGTACTAATTGTATTCATTTGATTAAAGATATAGTATGATCACTAATTATTTGTCAAATATAGAACAGTTCATTAGCTCGGCTTTCAAATCCGTTCGTTGTTTTGATTCAACGACTTTGAATCGTTTGAAAAGAGGCTGTTATTCTGTACTTCAACTGCTGTGGGTTTGTTAAGTACAAAATAACTACTGAAAGCATTAATTTAGCTATCTCTGTTATGTAGTGTACACGTTGGACATTCCAGTCGATGTAAGCGAGGAGTTTCAACGTATAATACAGAACAGTCATTACGGAAGTTGTATTGAATTTGATTTTTATCCCTACTCAAACTACCCATACTCATTACATTCACATTGAAAGTAAACTGATGAAGTACATGAGATTTAAATAGTTGTTTGTGATGTTTCATAGCATATTTGGTTATAAGTGTAAATCAGAAGGTCTGATAGTGAATTAAAAACCATGAGAACTTTAACTAATATGTGATGTTTAAGTTTCTGAACTGTCAATCAACGTTCCGTATAAGATTGGAAGGTGAAGAATATGTTATAAGATCATACAAAATGCTTTACAATCATCATTTTTGTAGTTCATGGATAGTTTATGATTCATAAACTAGAAGGTTGTCCTCAGAAGTAAAAGTAAATTTAAAGCTGACGATATTGCAGTCACAATCAACAGATGAATTCATAGAAAATATTAATGATCGAACTGATAAGCAAGTCATTGCTGCTGATGTGAAAACTATGAAAGCTCAACTCTCCATAAGTAGGTGTATAGAAGTACATTTCAGGTTTTTTTTACGTGAATGGAAGTAATCGGTATTCAAATTTCAACTGGCTTGATAAATTTTGATAGAAATTAAGGTTTCAAACAATTATGATGTTAATTCATTTGGTATTGTTTTACTTGAATCTTCCCATTGATGATTAGGACTGCAATTGGTTAACATATGTGCATATTGCCTCAATTCACAAGCATTCTAAGCAAAGATGGATAGTGACTTGCAGTGGGATCCACGATTCCTAGATCCAACAAAAAATTGATCAATTGAAGTTCAGCTGACGAGTCCCAAATAGGACAAAACGCACGCCCTGCATTACACTGCTATCCACTATCCATCCTAATGCAATATCAAGGCAATCGGCACAAGATGCGCATATACCAATAAGAGACTAATCAGTTGCAGCCCTATACATCAATGAGAAAATTTAAACAGCCAATACAACAATGAATTCAACTTCACATCACTACATAAGCTAGTGACTATCTAGACTCAGTAGGTAAGTGGATAGAGAGATGGCGTTTTTAAGCGGACGGTACTAAGTCCGAGTCCCAGAGTGAACATCAACTCTGAAATGCAGGTACATACAGCAGACGAGTTTCAAACGAAACACACATACTGGGTTACACTGCTAGCCATCTTTGCTCTCAATTATGATGTTAATTGTTATTCAATTATCAATCAGTGCAGATAATTCAGCTCATCAGACATTCAATTGTGTGTTGAGTCAGACACTGGTAACATCCACCTATCATTATGATAACACACAAAAATACTGTTATGAGATAGTAAGTAAATAATAAATTTGTTATAGAATAGAGAAAAACTCCACCTGGAGCATCTCTTGGGCTACTGCCGGTCCCATGCAGGGATAAAGGAGGGGGGTTAGGCATGGGGTTAGCGACCCCATCCCATAGAAAACTAACTCGCTAAAAAACGTTTCGACTCTGCCCTGGGAGTTAGAAAGTCTTCATTTAAAAGAGTTATGACGCCACATGGTGAAAGCCGATCTCCTTCGGAAGTCATGAAGCTGATGTCTCTTCTGACAACCAGAGCAACCATTAATTTAGGTACATGAAATGCTCGTACAATGTGGGAGACCGGGAGAGTCTTTCAAATTTCTGCAGAATAGAGAAAGTCACTTGATAAAGCTGAACTCTCTCTCTCTTGGCTATCAACATAAACGTGATGATCAGCATAAAGGTTGTAAAATTGACACATTTTATTAGGACCACGAAATGATCTAAATTAAATCACCATTAGAAACAAGAAAGCATTGAATAGTCGTTTCATAATAGTACAGAACTCTTCAGCAGTGAACACCTACAACCCAACCGAGAATCGAGATCAAGATTTTCAGGTCTCGTAGAAGTTTGACCATGGATGAGCATTTCAGTGGAGTTCCATACTAGAAAGAAACAGTGTTCCAGTGCTTCTGAGTTTTTAAACTTACACTCACTCCTGACTTCAAGAAAACAAAAGTCATAATTTATAAATATTCCATCTTAATTACTCTCTTTATAATCCAGTTCATTCCAGAGTACATAGACACACATAAAAACAATAAATACTTTTATATCAATCTGAATTTCTGCATTCAATCGTACATGGAATTATAGATCTATGTTACTGTATAATCATAAACCTAAACGTCAGTCAGTTAGCTACAACGCAAAACCAGGCAAATATATGCACCGTTGTTGCTACCTTGAGGTGATGGTCGGGTTTGCTTATCGTGGTGAACCAATCGAGCTATACTGGCTGCAACAATCGTTCCTCAAGATCATACCATGCCAGACAGGTCACTTGAAATACGGTAAGAGAAAAACAGCAAACCCAAGGTCCGAAGATGAAGTCGTACTGCTAACTGTACAGAGGTGTGACAGCAGTAAGGTGTTTGCTTGAGACAACCAGCATGACAGCGATGCTGTCTTTTCACAGGGAGGGGTGGGGTTAGAAAAGGTCTATTCTAAAAATGCACAACTCACCTAATCTCACCGATATCCGTCTCCGGCGGTAAGGTCTCAACAAGTACGGAGCTAACACAAAAATTACTCACAAAATGGTTGTGCATGACCGACTTAAACCAGTTGTCCTTTGAGCACTGCGGTCACGCTCTCAGGTCACTAAGACCACCTCTAATCCAATTTCGTCTTCAGGTTCCTCCAGAAGAACCCTTCCATGGTGTGGGCAATCAGGAAATGATAACCGCCCTCCTACGTCTAACAGCACTGAAGACCACTGTATTCATAACCAACCTCCCACTTCAATTTCTATTATTCCTCCTACATCGACTTTTAACACTAAACTTCCTCTTTTGGCTTTTACCTCAAGTGTTGCCATAGTCAACGATTCTAGTGCGTAACACACTGTCCCAGGTCTACGGAAAAATCTTCTAGTGTTTTAGTGCTATCAAAGACTCTTCAGTTGGTGTTGCTTCATTCATAATATAATCTTGAAACTCTAAAAAACTCTCATCTTCACCAGTTTTATGATTTAGATCTGTAAAACGTTTTACTGGAAAGTTTAATTTCAAAGAATCAAATAGGTTTTCCTGGGTGGTCAGATGATAACGACATCAGATTGTACTGTAATATCGTATATTGATTAAAATCCTGGAAAAAAACAGTGAACTACTGGATACCGTCTCAATGATTTTGAGAGATCTTAGTCGACAGGATATAGCTAGACTATAGTTTATGGACGAACCAATTATGTATAAGATAACAGGTTTCGGATTTTGGCGCGAAATTCATTCATTCATTTGGATAAATAGACTCTTGGCATTATAACTGATGTCAGTTCATGATGAAACACCCTAAATCTAACTTCCAACCTTAATCATCAACTTTAAATCATAATTCTAATTCCTCACATAGGTTTAGAACACCTCATCTGGTCCCAGTTATTAGGTGGACGCACACAAGGTCAGTTTAGCGTCACGCAAAGGTTGTCCATAAATTAAAGTCTCACCCAGGAAATTTATCAGTAATAGGCTACATTACTGTGTATGATCGAAGAAGTTTACCAATGATAATTCTTGGAACTAGGACAAAATACCTACTAATACTCTCTCCCCCCTCCCTCGCTCTCTGGTTTTTAGTTCTTCTATAGTTGACTTTGTTTTGTAATGCAAAAACTGGTTTACAAGTTGACAATCATAATGTTTTAATCAATAGTACACTTGTTTTTCTTCATGTCTAAAATCTGACGTAGAGGATCAGTTTGTATTTTCTGGAAGAGATTTCCACTCAAGTAGATGTCATGTCAACAGAGACAAATTGAGGCCAATGATCCAAAAACATAATAATTAATATCACGTCCGTTGTACGAATCGAAAGCTTTCCTCATATGGTAGCTTAAAATACAAGGCATATTCCAGATCCCACTCAGTTAGTTGATTTGAGGCTTAATAAATCAGTCGTGCCTATCTCCAAACATCTAATAATAAAAATATATCATGTCATGTGAAACAATCAATTGAATAGAATTTATCACTCTACATCAAATCCATTGACTACGAGAAAGCATTTGATAGCGTGAACAGGACAACACTATGGAGGCTTCTTCGACACTACGGCGTGCCTGAGAAGATAGTCAGTATCATACAAAATTCTTATGATGTATTAAATTGCAAAATCGTTCATGGAGGACAGTTGACAGATTCGTTCGGAGTAAAGACTGGTGTCAGGCAAGGTTACTTCCTCTTCCTCCTGGTGACCGACTGAATCATGAAGACGTTAATACTTAGGGGGGGAGCATGGGATACAGTGAACAGTTAGGATTCAGCTGGACGATTTAGACTTCGCAGATGATATAGCCCTCTTATCGCACAAGCAACAACAAATGCAGGAGAAGACGAACAGTGTAGCAGCAGCCTCAGTAGCAGTAGGTCTCAA